CATCCAAAAAAGTAGTGTTAACGGGTGATATGAATATAGTTCTCAACCCTGAAGGCAGTCATGGCGGAGCAACAGGCTACCTTAATATCTGTGCATGCCAGGGCCTGCTTCCAGCACATTTGCTCCCTACTCATCTAAGTGGTTTCTGTTTAGACCACACTTTACTAAAAACTAAGTTACATTCTACAACCCTTGTAACCAATCCTAAAGTAACCGATCATAGTGCCGTCATTCTTAGCTGAAGCCTTAAAATATCTAAATCGAAGTGTAAATACTCCATTCCTAAAACTAATATGAAAAACCTTGAATATGCAATTCAAATCATTGACTTTAGCCCAGTTTATAAAACCGATGACGTAAACATTTCTTTGCCTTACTTAATAAATAACGTACGAAATGCCATCGTTAGCAATACTTCGTATATCACAGTAGTTAAAAAAAATAATAACTTAAAGCCTTGGATTACACCCGTCTAATTAGGTGCATGAAACATAGGAACAAACTACACCTGATGGCAAAATCTTCTTCAGATAATTCCGTCTTACAAATTTCATATAAAATATATAAGAATGTTTGTAACAATTTATTAAAAAAGTTGAAGTATAATTATATTAAGAACTTATTGGAAGAGTCTGGTGCATGTAAAAGATATTGCATTTATATCCAAACAGCATGAATCTTCAGCAGAATTATTACAAAATATATCCTCGCCGCTTATATCAGCAAATAAAGCAAATAATTACTTTGTGAACGCCTCTAAAAATCTTGCTGAACAGATAATAAACAAAAAAATAATCATGAATACAGTGTCACTTTTTCAACTCAAAGAAACTTCCAATTAAGCTCGTTCGCATTATTAGATACGGACGCTACCGAGGTAGAAAGTATTATAATGGGACTGAAAGAAACAAGCGCGGTTGGTTAGGATGGCATAACCTGTAGTATATTAAGAAAATTTAGACAAATTCTAGTACCACCATTAACTCATATTTTTTGAATTTGTCTCTCTCAAGGTATTTTCCCAGATTGTTTAAAAAAAGCCATTGAAGTTCCAGTATATAAATCGGGGGAGAAAAAAATGTTTCCAATTATCGGCCTATCTCAATACTCTCATTTACGTCTAAAATATTAGAAAAATTAATTAACAGTAGATTAATGAATTATTTACAAAGTTAATCCATTTTATTGAATATGCAATATGGTTTCAGACCAAAACTATCTACTGCTGATGCTGTGTAGGTAATGACTGATTACATCTCTCAAGAATTACATAAAGGCAACCAATCAATTGGCATTTTCCTTGACCTAGCAAAAGCTTTTGATACAGTTTCTATTCCCATCCTATTAAATAAGCTAGAGAGCATAGGCATTCGAGGTAAACAGCTTCAAATTTTTGCGAACTATTTAGAAAATCGATATCAATGCATAAAAATTGAAAAGGTTATTAGAACTGAACAAAAAATACTCATTTTGGCGTACCTGAAGGAAGTGTATTAGGACCAACCCTATTTTTGATATATATAAATGTCATTTGCAATCTTGAACTTAACTCGGGTAAAATAATATCTTACTCAGATTATACCGTGCTCCTTTTTTCCGCAAATACAGTAAACAAGGTTTATTTATGTGCACAGCAAGGTTTTGACAGGGTTAATAAATGGCTCCAACAAATCATATTAACGCTGAATACGGACAAAACCAAATACATTCATTTTCCTATGCGCAGGTCAACACAGCGTATAACCTTTCTAGAAATTAATGCACATAAATGTTGCTCAGTCGCAGAGTCTAATTGTAACTGCCTCGTTATTTTTAATGCAAAAACTATTAAATACCTTGGAATAATAATAATAATTATAGATTCTACTCTTACATTTAAAAATCACATAGACCACCTCTGCAATAGAGTCCGTAAACTATTTTTTGTTTTTAAAAAGATTCGTTCTTTTGTTGATATCAAGGTAGAAAAGCAAGTATATTTCGCATTATGTCAATCAATTCTCACCTATTGTATAACTTCATGGGGAGGAGCAGCTAAAACTACACTGCTACCGCGGGAAAGCGCTCAAAGAGCTGTATTAAAAGTCGCAACATTTCGCCCTATCCTATTCTCGTCCCATCTCTTATATAAATCCTATAATGTCCTCTCAGTTATTCTACGTTTTATGAGTACTTTACTAAAACAGCACTTAAAATTGCCCTACATAAGACAGGTCACTGATAAAAGACACAAAGATAAATTCATTAAAACTAACATTAGAGTAAGATATACATAAAATTTTTTCATGCATAGATTTTTTACATTCCTTGGCCCTTTTCTTGTATAATACAGTCAATGCAATTTTGTACATGTATCCATTAAAAATTGAAGATTGTAAAAATGTAATTCGGACATGGTTATAAAGATTGTCATACGATAATACGGAAAAATTACTGATTGTTATAAGCTAATTAAAATTTTAACTAAATTAATGATAATATATTTTACCGAATTAACCGTAATTAGTTGGTAAGTTATTCATTTTATATAAGAAACAGAAAATATTTGTAAATGTATCTATTAGCACATACACCTGAGATACAGGTTTATCCTAGTTCAGGTGCCTGTTAATGTAGACTATTTTAAATTAAGACATTATTTGAATTAATTGTACAGTTTCTTGAAATAAATTATTGTTATTATTATTTGGGTTATCTATAAAATTTTCTCATCTGCTTGGGCTGTTTAAATTTATAATTGTAGAGGAAAGATATAAACACACATTATTATTATGATGACGCCAGGCTACACACATATTTGGCCACTCAGCTAAAATTGAGAGAGGTGGGAAGTTTTAATGCATCCACCATAAACTTTTGACCTGGCACCCTCAGATTTTTATCTGTTTCGGTCTCTTTAGAATTTATTGGGTAGTGTGAGGTTAATATCAAGACAGGACCGTCAAAAGTACTTGTCGCATTTTTTGATCAAAAATCCAGGATTTCTACAGCATCGGTATTATGTCACAGCCTATAAGGCGGCAACAAGCTATCGATGTCGTTCAAATAGGCAGTTGCAACAATTAAACTTCATTATATACATATATATATATATAGGGCAAGGAAATGTCCGCCGCGCTGCCCCAATGCGTGTTGGAGAACTTTACATGTCTTCGAAATATTTTTTCTTATTTCTCAGACATGCAGGTTTCTTCACGATGTTTTCCTTCACCGCCGAGCACGTGGTAAATCAGCACTTAAAATTGAAATTAACAGTTTCATTGGTGGATTTTCAATGGTGCTTGAGTACTGTATATATATATTATATTACATAGATAGTGAAAAGGAACAGCGGCTCCTATGACCTACCCTGCAACAGAGATAAACCAATGTGTGACCTTCTTTCCACAGAAACCAATACCACACCACGTTGGGTTTTGGAACAATGAGGTGGGCGTTACCTCTGAAAAGGCATGCCACTCAAAGTCCTTCTTCTCTTTCTCAAAAGAAAGGTTAGATGACTAAGATTATGGGTTCTAATAGAATCACGGTCTTGACGTCCATCAGAAGTGGACTCTATTTGGGAGGTTAAGTTTGGTGGTGCTTTGTCTTCTTAAATAAAACATCACTTTATAGTGTATATAATATATACTTTTTCCTATCACTTTTCCCTATTATTTTCTATCTTGATTTACACTGGAAACAGGTAGCTGGTCTCAAACTGTCCCGAATGAATGTCCAACCGACGTTGTTTTCTTCTGCAGGTTTCGGGCCTCGGGGTACCCGCTATGCCCGGATTTTCTTCAAGGCCCACTACTGTAGGCCGGTCCTGGGAGTCTTCTTGGCGTTGTTGCTTGAAAATACAGCGGTCGCGGGTTCGATTCCCGGGTCGCCGCGTGATGGTGTCAAAACTTATATAGTGGTATAAATGTGTTTGTTGGTCAGTCTGCGACATTATGGGTTGTTACTGAACTCCCTAATCTATATAGGGAGGAGTTCTCTTGGTAAACGTCGCCCGTCCGGTGGTCGGGCGTGTAGCGGCACGAAGTTGTTGAGGTGTGGGTGTGGCCCGTTGTCGGCGTGGTTGAACATACCGCGCGACAGCCGGACCACAAACTCTTCTATGGTTTCCATCTTTAGGTTGGCCGCTATGACGTCATTCCGGACGTAGCAACCTGCACCGACAATGGGCCTTAATACTAAGTTAAACTTCTAAATACTGACTGTTCTGCTGGGACTGCAGTCCCAGCAGAACAGTCTTAGAACTTAGTATTTAGAAGTTAATATTTACTTTCGCGCTATATATTTTCTTCACCATTCGGTCTTCACTCATTTGCTCAACGTGCCCAAACCATCGAAGCACGCCCTTATCAATTTTTCATCAGCCATGCAGGACATTAATAATTTGCCTTATTATAGGACAGTCATGTTTTTGTGCTATAACACCCAGGATACTGTTGGCGCTATTCCTTGTTCTGCTTAGTAGCGATACGGCTTTTTGCATATATTTTAACATTTTTTGAACATAGATTGTTCTAACTTGGAATATATTTACTTTTAATCGTAGATGATTATAGTGCAAATATACTTGTTTTATAAAATGGAAAATTATTTTTATATAGTTTTTAAACGCGTCGCCAACGGATTGAAATAAATTAGTAATAAAACAAAAATATTATTAAAATCAAATTTAATAGAAGTTTTTTCTTCGATCTTTGAAATCATTGCTAAGCTCAATGAAATGTTTCTTTGTAACGCTTGTACAGTAAGTTGTAAGGTCAACACCATATGCTTTAGGCGCAAAAAATTATGTGTGCTATACGTAAACCAGTATCATTAAAGATCTTTGGCATACACAGATTCAACGTCCTTGCCTCGTGTGCCATAGTGCGCTTATATTAAATATTGGAAGTTATTTTATAATCACTTCATGAATTGATTTTCTCATGGTTGTGTTGTTAATTTTATACTTTAGTGAAAAGTGAAGAGTGCAAAAATTTCAACAGTTTTAAAAAGGAAAAATGAAATTTTTAATTTTTATTTTCCTGTTATTCTGTCACGCCTCTGCTGTGATATATCAACTAAATAGTAAGAAAATATTATAATATATTTATTTATTGCAAATGACATTTTTAATGTTTTCAGTAATATTTCTTTTAATTGCTTCTAGCTATAACCACAACATCGTTCTTACACGAAGGTTCGTTCGTAAAGCAGTTTTGTTACTTTTAGTTTTTAAATAAACCACGTTAATGAAGTAGATAAATAGATGCCATCAAAAACATAACTTGTAAAAAAAAACCAAGTCTCGCAACTCAGTTCTTCTACAGTAAAAAGTTGTGAGATCCATGTAATACCAAGTCGATTAATTTATTCAGTCCCTACTTAAGGGTCTTTCTGTCTTAAGTTATTACGTAAATAGCTAACCTAACAACATCTTATAGTGACCAAATCAATACTAAAAATATTTTATATTTTAAATAAATAGATTGACTTGGCCATCGCATGAAAACGCAATGTATCTCTCAAGTAATACATATTATATTAAATTAGATTGTTTAGTGCGATTGCCAAGTCAATTTATTTATTTAAAACATAAAAGGTTTTTATTATAGACATATTCACTATGATATGTTGTTAAGTTAGCTAATTACGTAATAACTTAAGACAGAAGGACCCTTAAGTAGGGACTGAATAAATTAACCGACTTGGTATTACATGGATCTCACAACTTTTTACGGTAGAAGAACTGAGTTGCGAGACTTGGTTTTTTTACAAGTTATGTTTTTGATGGCATCTCATTTCTTTTTGTAGATAGTTATATCTAGGTAACTATCTACACCTATTATTCCATTATATTACACATATATAGGTACACTGATTCAGTTACTGCAAATGTAACTTTGTAATCCTATATATTTATATGGGATTACAAAGTTATTTATGCAGTTAGTGTATCTCGAAAATTGGACCAAATTGCAAAATAATTTAATTTTTCCTTGATTTATATACTAGATAATACTTGTATTCCAAATTTGAAGCTTATATGTCTGCTAGAAGTGCCTTAGAGTTTTGATGATCGGTCAGTCAGTGAGTGACAAAATTAAGAAACTTTGATTAGTTATAATTCTTAAACTACTAGTTCAAATTTAATGAAATTTGAAACATATCGATATTATACAATGCTTACTTGGGTACTGAAAATTCAGGCTTCTAGTTTTATGCACAACGAAGTTATACGGTTTCGAACATGACCTGAATTGCTTCGAGAAAAGGATGTTACAGCCGTGCCGCTTTTTTGCTCGACTTGGCGGGGGCACTGCCCTGCCCCCAGATAACTGATATAGCTGTTAACACTAATTATTTATTAATTAATGTAAGATAGAAAGCCCTTAATCGTTTAAATTACATGGAAAAATAAATCTATAAGATCTTTAAAATTGGCGTTTTGGTAAATTGGCCGTTTTGAACTTTATTAGTTATAGTTCGACTTGAAACTCTAAATCCATATACATTTTATATTTGAGGCATGTGTTTCATTTCTTCTACAAGTAAACATCATCCCGTGGGTGTCGTTAGCGGTGACAAAGGCAAACTTTTAATTGTAATTAGGATTCATTTCAATTGTTAATAAAAAAATTCCTAATAGAAAAAAATGCAAGTTTATATCTATGTAGTATTTCATTACGAATTTAATTTATTTTGTTCAGTCGCTTTAAAAAGCCTTAATGCACATGTTTGCTTAGGGCGTAAGCACAAAAAAATATTGGCGGTACGCTCACTCGCGATTAAGCAATCTTGTATTTTTTAAAGATGAAGTTTATTTTAATTAGCTTTTTAAATTTTTACCGTCTTTAATGATGACGTCATAGAGTAGATTGAAAATTGAATTGCATTTCGCTACCTATTTTTGAATTATGTTCGAGCAGCTATGCAGGTCTAGAGATAACAGTATCACTGCGACCTAAAAGATCTATTGTGATCGCTGCTATGTCTACAGTTCACTGCTAAGCCCTACTTTTTTTTTATAGCATAGGGTGACAAACGAGCACACAGTCCACCTGATGGTAAGTGGTTGCTGTGCCCCATAGACATCTACATTTATCCTCGTTTGCGAATCAAAATGCAGATGCGTTGTCACCCGTGTGGAATAAGATGGAATGCCTCTTTTCCAGAAAAAAGGGTCTCCGGTTCTCTACAGTCACCATACAAAATACCGCAGCGTTAAGCTGCTATTTTACGCTGGTATTCTGTGAGAGCGTGGTCCTTCCCCGGTCGAGCCGATCCATTCGTGCTATACCTATACTGCTAATATAGCTGCAGCATGGCTCTACCACGTATAGGACTACCATACCACGTCCTCAATGAATAGAAGGAAGGTTGCTTAGCTGTGAGTAATTTCACTTCTTCTGGGCGAAGTACATATTTTCCCAGATGAGTGCTAAGTTTGCGCATTAAGAGTCTGCAATTTAGGATGTGTAAATGCTTTTCCTCATCTCAGAAGCAAAACCGACACATCCTTGAGTTGCTTATTCCCAGGGTGGACAAGTGCTTTTTAAGACAACAGTGTTGAGTCAGGGCTCTTACCAGAATGCGAAATTTATTCTAACCTAATCCCAGGTCTTCCGAAGCGAATTTACAATCGAAAGACCGGATTAAGGTTTTAGAATATTTTAATCCTGATGTATCAGACCAGATATTAAGTGCTTTACTGTGGTAAGGAGTTTCCGGGGTCAATCAGGCGAGGCTTTTTGAGATTTCACAAAATGGCTCGGGTTCATATTGTGTACTCTTTGGGCCCTCCCGTGCGTGCTTGTTGGCAGTTGCCTACAATACCCGCGTGACCCATCTTAAAACGACCTTGTTGTTACCTCCCAGGGCGTTTAGTCGGTTCAGGCAGTCTCCAACTAGCATCGAGTTCACCAAGTTTCGTACCCTTATTACAAAAACCGATTATCTGCACCAAAATTTGAGCGAAATGTTTTTGAGATATAACCATTTGAAACTTTAACGGCACCAAAATCAAATATAGTGATGTCAATTTTTAAACGCTCGTCGTTTTTATAAACAAGAAACTATTCAAGTAATGTTAAGTAGGTTAATAATTGAAGAAAACTTACTAAATTTTCAACAAAAAGAAGAAATTAACCGGTAAAGAGCTCATTTAGTTGCTTTTTGCTGAATGTAGAAAAACTACCAAATTTCAAAAATTACCCTTCTGGTAGCGCTATTGGCATTTTTTACTTAATCACTTGCTTTAAATAGTAATAATCATCAAGACAGAAATCGTTTAAGTTCATCTATGGCCAGTATAAATGTAAAATAAATATCTTTAGTCGCTTTTGGCTGAAGGTAAAGTAGATTTTATTTTATTTTGTATGTACTAACTACCGCGCCCAGCGGTTTTACCCGCGTAGTTTCCGTTCCCGTGGGAAATGAAAAAATTTAAATAACCATAGTTATTTCTTATAACCTCCGCTATCTTCCAGTGAAAGTCCCCTTAAAATCGGTCCAGCCTTTAAAGCGTTTAGCGTTGCCCCGCGACTTCACCCGCGTATGTCCGATTCCCGTAATAACTTCGGGAAATATTATACGTATAAACCTTTCTATTAAATCCATCATTTATTGATAAATTGCTGCATTAAAATCCGTTGCGTACTTTAAAAGACATAAGCGTACATACATACAGAGGGACTGAGGGCGGGAAGCGACTTTGTTTTTTACTATGTAAAGATATAGATTCAATTTAAAAATAATTTAAAATTAAAAATTTTGTACAGCCGACTTCAATATAAGTTATTTAAGAATAACTTAAAAACTATTGGTCTGACCTTGATCAAATTCATATGGGACCACACGAGAAGTACCAGCTTTCAAATAAAAAAAGAATCATCGAAATCGGTTCACCCAGAAAAAAGTTCTGAGGTAACACACATAAAAAAAAAAACGAAAAAAAAAACATACAGTCGAATTGAGTACCGGCTCCTTTTTGGAAGTCGGCAGAAAAAATAATACTTTAACAAAATCTTTATTCGATATAAAAAAAACAATGTTTAGTCTTCTAAGCTTGACAGAGAACATGTGTCATCACTGTCAGAGAGAGTCGCAGCTGGCAATCAATCAACACTGCTAGCTTCAGTAGCCAGAGACTGGAACCACCCATGATACTCTTCCGGTATTACACCTTTATTGCAAAGATTAATTAGATCCTTCTTCTTAGCTATGGATATAGGGAGACGTCCACTGTATAGCTGCTGTAAGGGTGGAAAGATAACTCCTGAACTGGATGGCCGCATAGATATTTCATCAACTACTTCTTGTTGCTTACCCTTGTTTCTGGTTGCATAACCATGGTTTGCATAAGGTAAAGGGGTCGTCGTAATTTGCAAGGTGGTTTTCATGGATGTCGTAACATCCAATAAATTTTTTATTTGAATTCTTTAACATGGTAAGCGTTCTTTGTAACTTTCTTACCTTCACGTTTATAAACTTTTTTAGACCTAGCCCGTTTAAAAACGTTTATCAAGTCAGACATACAGTAGATGTCACAATTTTTCTTCGAAGTTTCTATGGCGCTGTGCATGGAGTCAGCTTCCATGTAGCTGTGACTGGATTCGAGGAACTTGTGTTCTATTATGTCTAGGTGTGTGTCCTGCATCATAATCCACAATAGTATGGCGGCAATATACTGATTACGGTTTTGGCCGCCACACGTGTCTGAAAACAAGCTGACTTCTTTAATCTCCTTTGGCACGCATGTGGTTAAGTAATGATGTAAAATCGTTCCGATTTCAGCACTACCTTTTTACCATGCACTTCATTCCAAACAAAACAGTAAGCTTCATTGGGAAGTGCGTTTTCGTAAATTGTTAAATTGTAAAGTGTCAATTTTCTTGTGTAATAGAGAAGACCTACATCAGTACTGGGAATTTGCAATATTGCTTGTAAGTCAAACGAAACTGTTAAGAAATCAGTTTCTTTTTCAGCCCTTTGTTTATCGTTTTGTTTTTCCCGATTACATGTTTCCTTCCTTTGTATGTGTTCATCATAATTTTTTTTTAATTTATCTTTTTCTTCGCCGTTGGCAC